AAATCAGAATGGGGATCGGAACTGGAACTTGGATTGGATCAGTGGAACTATAGAATCAGCACAGGAACTGTAAGTCGAACTTGGGAGGGTGGAACTACCATCCGGTACCGGGACCAGGAGGAGGACCGGAATTGCCGCTGCAGCGAACAACATACGCAACTAACAACAAGAAATTATTACCGACCAGCTTGGCTCAGTTGGTGCACCTACACCGATAAACTGTTGAAATGCGGACGTGAGCTTGAACCCAGGTGAGACCAGCTGGAACGAAATTTCCTGAATCGTCTAGGGCCGCCCAGTTTTTCTTCCAAAAGAAGAAGAAGAAGAAGAAGAAGAAGAAGAAGAAGAAGAAGCCGAAATGGAACAGGGACGGATGGCTCGGGCTGCAAGGGCAAATCTGCAATTGCCCCCTTCTGCACTGCGGAACTATGCTTGCTGGTGATAAGCAAGGGGACTGCTGTCCACTAGAATAGAAGGGGGTTTGTTTGGACTGCTGCCCTGTAGAATAGAAGGGACTTTGTTTGTTGTGAAAAAAAAAAAAAGGAAAATGGGACAGGGACTTGGGGAAAGCGGCCTAGCTCAATTGGTAGAGCACGAGAGTGGCATTCAGGAGGTCACGGGTTCGATTCCCTGCGGTCTTSATTCGAGACCCTCAKGGCCYTYGGCGGCYCACTACAGGTTCACCAGCCAGCYGAGCGAAGWYGCTTTGCCCCCCCCCCCCCCCCCCCCCSSSTAAGGTAAGGTAGGGGGKKGGATCCCCYCCCMYCCATTGCCCGGGGTGGGSGGAAGCGACGGTGCTTAGGTAGGCAGGGGKGGRGGKRGGKRGGTGCCAACCCAACGCGTAACCCTTAGGGGACCCCTGACGGTGTGCATAGATAGTTAGGAAGGGTAGGTAGCAAAAAAAATAAAAAAAATGGGACAGGGACTTAGAAGGGGGCTTTTTTTCGGTTGCGAAAAGAAAAGAAAAAAAAAGAAAAAAGAAATGGGACTGGGACTTCAGAGTTCAGAAAGTTAGCAATTTTTTCAGAATTACGTCTGGAACTGTGATGGCAAAATGGAACTGGGGTACCTGGATGGAACCAGGACCGCAATTTGAAGTGAGACCTAAGCGCAGATCTTTAAAAAAAAAAAACAACAACAAAAAAAACAGATCAACCAGAACACGAACTGGCACCGCAACTCACAAGAAACAGACACGGATTCCTGAACCTCAACGTGGCAGAAGGTTTCTAGTCTGGTTTCTGCACCAGATTCCATGCCGCAGAAGCAGAATCCAGAACTGGTGAAAAAAGGAGAGAAATCGCTGCAGCCGCAAGGTCCAGTTGTGCTTTCTGGTCCAGGTTGCAGAACCGGAAACCAGAACTTCTGGTTGTGGTCCGGAAAAGAAAGCAGAAACCAGAGAAAGCAGAAAAATTCTGATCCACGTCGCAGAACCAGAAAGCAGTTCTGGTTTCTGGTTTAGGGTTTCTTCTTGTGGTTGTGGTTTTCCGGTTGTGGTCCAGACAAGAAAGCAGAAATCAGAAAAAGCAGAAAAATTCTGATCCACGTTGCAGAACCAGAAAGCAGTTCTGGTTTCTGGTTTCTGGTTTCTGGTTGTTTAGGGTTTCTTCTTGTGGTTGTGGTTGCGGTTGCACTGCCACAACCGCGAGGCGAAACTAGGAATTTTTTTCTGGTCCAGGTTGCAAAACCAGAAGCCAGAAAGAAGTTCCGGTTTGTGCTTGTGGTCACGGTTGCAGATTCACTTCTGCGTAGTCTGGAAAAAAAGAAACCAGCGACCGGAAACTTTCTGATCCTTATGGTCCACAGATTGAAGAACGAGAAAGCAGAAGGTTTGGGTTTAGAGTATAGAACAAGGAATTGAAACCAGGAAGTTTTCTGGTTTCTGCTTCAAGCTTGCTGCTGCTCTTTCTGGTATAGAACAAGGAAACAGGAAACCAGAATTTCAAACTGGAAACTTTCTGGTCCTTCAGGTCCAGATTGAAGAAACCAGAAGGTTTGGTCGTGGTCTAGAACAAGGACAAGGAAACCATGAACCGGAAACTTTCTGGTCCTTCAGGTCCACAGATTGAAGAACGAGAAACCAGAAGGTTTGGGTTTAGGGTTTAGAACAAGGATTTAAAACCAGAAAGTTTTCTGGTTTCTGCTTCAAGCTTGCTGCTGCTCTTTCTGCTCTTTTCTGGTCTAGAACAAGGAAACAGGAAACCAGAATTTCAAAATGGGAACTTTGTGGTTTCTTCAATCTGGACCAGAAACCGGAAAAGTTTCTGGTCCTTATGGTCCACAGATTGAAGAATGAGAAACCAGAAGGTTTGGGTTTAGGGTATAGAACAAGGAAAATTCAAACCAGAAAGTTTTCTGGTTTCTTCGTCTTGCTTCCAGATTTGTGCTCTTTCTGGTCTAGAACAAGGAAAGAGGAAACCAGAATTTCAAACCGGAAACTTTTCTGGTCCAGATTGAAGAGCGAGAAACGAGAAGGTTTGGGTTTAGGGTATAGAACAAGGAAACCGGAAACGTTTCTGGTTTCTGCTTCAAAAGCTTGCTGCTAGCTGCTTTTTGCTTTCTGGGCTAGAACAGTGAAACAGGAAGCCAGAAAGAAGAAAGCAGACATCAGACCGGACTGGGATGCGGAACCTCGACCGCAACTTCCAGTTTTGGAGTCAAGTTCAGAATTGCAGAACCAGAAGCCAGAAGTTCTGGTTGTGGTCTAGACTCTCGAACAAGGAAACCAAAATGTTTTCGGTCTCTGCTTTCTGCTTTCTGGTGCAAACAGCAGAACCAGAGAGCAGAGAAAATGTCTTTGGTCTCTGCTTTCTGCTTTCTGGTCTAAACTGCAGAGCCGAAAAAAAACACAATAGTTCTGCTTTCTGGTCTAGACTGCCAAACTTGAAACCAGAACTTTTTGCGTTCTGGTTCTGGACTCGGATTTCGGTTTCTTTTGTGGTAGAAGAAGAAGAAGAAGAAGAAGAAGAAGAAGAAGAAGAAGAAGGTCCTTCGGGACATCCGTTTTAATTGGAATGATACAGAGAAGGAAGATTAGCATGGCGCCTGTGCAAGGATGACACACAAAAATCGAGAAACGGTAACTTTTTTGGAAAGAAGAAGAAGAAGAAGAAGAAGAAACACACAAGAAGAAAATAAGACGAGGAAAAAGAAGAGCAAGAACAAAACGAAAGAAGAAGAAAAAGAAGAAGAAGAAGGTAAGAGGGGATGCAAGTGGAGTCACGGGGTAGGGATCGGGAAAGGGATGGGGGGACTCAGGAGGGATGGCGAAGTGTGGGGGGGCGCGTGGCGGAGTGGGAGTTGGTATCATGCGAGATGAGGAGGGGAGGGGTGGCGGTCCTGGCGGGGATACGATGGAGTGGTCGTCAGGATAGATGCGGGAGCTGGGATTGTAGAGGGATGGGGAGGCCACCAGAGGCGTGCAAGGGTGACCAAAGGTGCTCAGCGGGAGTATTGCGGGGGGGGGCAAGGTGCACACCCGCAGCAGCAGGAGGCGTGTGCAGGGGGCTATGACGAACCACTTCCCAAACCCGTGCTATCTTTCGTACCCCTTCCCTTTTTTTGCTTGAATCATACCAACCCCATAAAAACCCCGTTTCGTTTTCTTGATTTTGGGTACCGCGTTTTTGACTCCCATCTTTCGGAAAGCTTTTTCGACTCTCGGCTTCTGCTTTTCCTTTCTAAACTTCGGGAAATACATAGGAAATTACATGCGCCTTAGCGAGCGCATT